CACCTGTCTAATATCTCCAATTTGTGTATGCTTGAGTGTGTACTGGAGGGTTGTTTTGTAAGGGACCATGCTGTTCAATTATGTCTCCTCGCTAGAATGCTAAAGCACTGCAACACCAAACGGATGTCATTTCAGTGGGTGACGACTCAGCTTATTACATCAGCATAAATGTATAGGAAAATTGAGGCCAAGACAGTTTTGCACTGTTACAGGAAAAACACCGGAAGCTTTTGTGTTCATTCAGGGATATTGGTCAAGGTCTTTTTCCACCTCTTCGCAATATTGGGCACTGGTGTATTTCGAGAAGGAATATGCTCTTAATTACGCCTGTGTGGCTTAGAATATACCCTACTTACAATACCTTAGCTGTTATGTTGGAATACATGATGTCACTGTAAACAATAATGCTTATCGAGGTTTTTTTAATGTTAAATGAACATTACTTTGGTTATGTCACTTGGCAATCACTACGAGAATAGCGCTAACGTACATGTAGGGTAAAATGGCGTCAAATACCAGAAACCTAGGGCTGTATAGATGGTACGTCACATGAAATATATATCCCCAATAATTACGGAGCTTTACTTCTCGAGGAGTGCGGGTAATATCCTTCTCCTATCATAACACCATTCATCTCCACACAAATTGATTGGAAGCCAATCAGTTAGCAAACCGCCTGTATTTGTTTAACAGAACAAAACAAAGATATAGAGCGTTCGTAGAGAGCAGGATATACCAATTAAAGAATTTCGGGTTATTTTGGTACTTTGTTTCGTCACAGGAGAGATAATGAATCAGATTATTGTTAGGTGTGCTTGTCTTGACCAGAGAATGACTGGATTATTTTTTATCAATTTTAAACGGATTCTGTTGCGTCAGTTTGACAGCTATGTGTATCCATAGTCGTACATACACAGGTATACGTATGTAGTGATTATACGCTCATGCTATAGATCAAGCGAGTAAGTCGAGAGAAGACTTATTAAAGTAAAAACAAAATATCGAATATCTCCCCTTCACATACGTATGCATAAACGTATATAAATCCTATTGTAATACTTATAGCCTGTATGCGTCATTTAAAGGAACATCACGGTGAAATGTATATTTTTTGTCTTTTTTCAATTACTACATCAACATATCAAGTGAGTCTCCTTATGGAAAATAAAGATCGGATATGGCAGATATATATTCAAAATAAAATCTAAATTGTGAGGTAATAATGGGGATCAAGGATTTCCCTGCGTCAGAGCTACTATAATGTTTGAGCCTAGTACGCAATTTCATTGTAAACACAATGACTAGCTGTGTGATGTTGGTGTGTGAAAAGCGTTACCGCGTCAGCTACAAAGCGAAAATTGTAAAATGGACAAAAGATAGCGCAAGGATTACGTTTCAGATAGCCGGTTTAAAGCTAAAATGAAATCGACAGAAATGCTATTTATGTTATGAATACATATCTGTGGCGTATTCTGTTCTCTCCTCAGTCAGTACTCGGGGTGAAATGAGATACGTACGATTTAAACGATTTTGTTATTTACATGCAAGATTTAAATATCTCAAAGTGACGGTTCAGGATGAAAATAGGATCGAATAACAAAAATATTTTTTAAATCGTGATATTTAAACAATTCATGTTTTTACATGATGTTGACTTAGGATCTATGATCATGCAGCAACTTGTTTTCTATAAACAATTCATTTTCGATTTGAGATAGGATCGGAATATGCATTGAAAACGGTAAACAAGTAATTTGTTTACGTAAAAATGACGCGTGTTGCCAATAACTACGGCTTCTATTTCGGACAAAAGGAACTGATTAAAGTAAAGTTGTCTCATTACATGTATGCTGTAATCTATGCAAGGTATTGAAAACATATAGCTATTAAGTATCTCAACACGTTCCATATCTGACACATATTCTACATGTACGTATACACGTAGTGGTTACGTCATAAACATTCATTGTGTATGATGGCTAATATGACTTACTAAGTGTTAGCGTATGAAGTACATGAATATATGTAATGCATGGTCTAGACAAAAAGTGGTCAAAGACATTGAGCTGTACAATGCAGTAAAAAAAAATCACAACCGTTTCTCTTTTTTTAAACTTGTCAATGCATATATACACTTTATGAAAACATTTGAAAAGGGATATTTGTCTCGTGAAAATCCCTTTTTACAGAAAGGTGTGTCCCATGGTGAAGGGAAGGTGTTTAGTCCCGTACCCATTTATACCGAAATATTACGGTCATAGATATTTCCTGGTGTCTATAAATAATGCCGAGATGCCAACAATTTTTTTCTTTCGTTTCAATATTAACATGTTTGCAATTAAATTTTGATGATGAATGCTTACTGGAAAAGAGATTCAATAGGTTTTAACACGCACTTGGTTTCAAAGTGCGGTAAGAAGTTGCAGTTGCCTGACGGCCCCACTTTGGGGGCCCCTTTGGAAACTTTGTATCTCGGTCAGACCACCTGTGTTTACTGCCTTGTTTCCAAACCATTAAGTGACGTTATTAGCGCTATTTTTAACAGTCAATTTTAGGCTCGTAAACACGTTTAAGACAAACTGTAAGGGAAAGTTCTTTAATATATGTTGTTTCTCAGACAGATAACATGTTCAATAAGATAGCTGTGGGTAATTTATTGCTCAGATGATTGTTTTCTTTGTTTTTCCTAACAGTGTTATTTAATGCAAATATACAAAATTGAGCTAATTTTGTCGTCATTGTTCTGTTTAATTGTTTCTTTCAGATCATGACTTTGTTATCAAATATGCATGAAGACGACATTTAACAAGATTATTTCTATTTATATCATCTGTCTATGAATAGGTCAACATAGATAGAAACACATATTGACATTAACCTAAAACACCGCTGTTTAATTCCTGTATATTATAAATCAACTATTAGTTAAGGAGCTTTAATCTTCGAGGACTGCGTGTGCTAGCCTTCTTACTGTCCTATCATAACGCCATTTACGTACCTCAGCACAAAGGACTGCGTGTACTAGCCTTCTTACTGTCCTATCATAACGCCATTTACGTACAGTGTACCTCAGCACAAAGGACTGCGTGTGCTAGCCTTCTTACTGCCCTATCATAACGCCATTTACGTACAGTGTACCTCAGCACAAAGGAATGTGTGTACTAGCCTTCTCATTGACCTATCATAACGCCATTTACGTACCTCAGCACAGATTGATCGGGAGACAATCAGATATCATAACCGCCTTTGTTTATTGAGGCGGAACCAATGGGACACCAGCGCACTTGAAACCCCACTGCCATTGGCTTTATTTTAAGTGCGCATCTATGGTGTGCAAATATATCTTTATTTCCTGACTGGTGATTCTAGTTGTGTATTACACATTCCAAGCCACACGCCCTCCCACCCCACTGCAACAGGTTTAAACTTAAGCTTGGTGTTGACACTAATTGATATCACCACCCCCGCATCAACTAAATGGGTCAGCGAACCATGATAAAGGATTTTTACCTGTATGGTCGGTGGTCCGTAGCAGTCACAGGGCATATGTGTTACGTTTGCAAGAAGGACAATTGCCATTACATTTTAATGCTTTAAAACCAGGAATCACTGAGAGTGAGTAATGTCAGTAAATGGACGTAAGCACATTTAAAGCATGCAGGTAAATAAGCATTTGATCCAATGATTGGTAGCGTTCATCATTCATGCAACTTTATATAACTTTGACGCCAAGATTAAATACGTATTGCACTTGAATTTTCTGTATAAATATATGAGCCACTCTACTGAAAGATGATCATATCCTGCCCACCGACAGTACCACTTCATTTATGATATAATATAAACTTTATTTATTTAACAACAATTATGAAACAAGTTATTTCAACTTATATTAATCACTCTTGTTGGCCCATCATTTATTTATGATGGCAATAACGACATTTTCATTTTATATTTAGAAAGTCTACGCCGATATTGTTTTCTTGTATGATAACCTAGCACGTAGTAACAACAGCATACGTATTAGAAAACAACCAAGGATAATCTTTTTAATGAGTTTGAGAATTTGAAATAATTAAATTACCAAAATTAAATTAGTACATTAATTTTAAGTTCAACTCGGGAATTTTACTATTAAACAAGAGAATAAATAGAATTCAAGAAAAAATTAGATATAGATCCTTGGAAAGGTAAAGCGCCCAAGACCGGTGTATACCTTACTTCTGTGCAACATGACATGGTTCAGACTACATTTATCGCAAAATAAACCGGAAATCTAGAATGGTGACACCCCCCTGAAAAAAATCTGGATCCGCTCCTGGTGTTTGTAGAACACATCATATACATATTAAAGATTTTCGGTTTCTTGGTACTTGTTTCGTCACAGGACTGAGAATATGAGAATATGATTTATTGTTCTTTGTGCTTGTCTTGCCCAGAGAATGTCTGGATTATCTTGTATCACTATAAACTGTTGAATTTAAAGTTGAGTACACGAACGGATTCCATCAAGTCAGTTTGCCACCTATGTTGATCCGTAGTTAGCTGTACATACACAGGTATAGTGCTATATGTCCAGCGTGTAGGCCAGTCGCAAGGTGTTTGTTTCATTGTGTGTCGATATTTTGCTGCAATTTTACGCTGCTCGTTTTTAAAGGATAATTCTTTAATACAGTTGTTCTCTCAGACAGATAACATTTCTAATAAGATAGTTGTGGACAATTTATTGCTCCAATGTATGTCCTTTTTTCCGAATAATATCATTTTATGCAGATATCAGAAAAAGAGTTAATTATGTCTTTATGGTTTTGTTTGTTTCCCTTATACCGTTGCTATTGTCAAATTACCACCTAAAAGGAGAAAACATGTTGACATTAACAGCTTTTAAAAGTACAACATGTACTTTATCTCCGAATCCTACCCATTTACATTACAACATTACTTCATATATGTTTCAACACATACTATGACACAACGCATGTAAAATAAGTTTAACTTACCCAAACGACAACCACGGCGTTCAGCTTGAATCGTCCGAATGGGTTGAACTGGCTTGTCGCGCGTCTTTAAACGTGTAGGTCCCGGGAATTCCAAGAAAAATATACATTGTACCAGGTATTCCAGGTAATTTTACACTGCGTAAGTAATAAATAAAACAACCTATACATATGCATAAAGGAAAAGGGGTTCTAAAACGTTGTTATGATTCATCTTACCTCGAGTTGAGATTTCCCTGTCCAAGGACCATACCCATGTAAGATTATATTAATCTACTATAGTGATTACTTCTATCTACGTCCATACTACAATAACAATTTTCATTTTACCACAAAAAGAAAAGACATTTAGTCCAGAACATTTGGATTTCCAGAATTTAGAGTAAAACGTTGCAATTTGTAAATGTATCAAGCTGGCAAATAAATCAACAGTAAAAGGCCCCATGCCTAATTGAGAAAATTGACGATGACCGGGGACAGCCCAAACGTCGACATCGAACTCTTTGCTGTATGTGTCCGCAATATTATTTAGATGCCTGGGTACCGTTTATACATTTTAGGGACATCATGATGAAGTATATCTTTTATGACTTTTTTGAAATACTGCATGAATATATCAAGTAAGTCTCCTAATGGAAACAACGGTCGGAATTTGCTGATACATATTCCTAAAAATTCCTAATTACTAATAGAAGAGGAGCGTGTGTGACACTTTTTTGTTTGTCAAATTCTGCTTTGCTTTCTGTTGTTTAAAGGTGATAAAAACCCAATTTCATTTTCACATATTTTGGTTTTTTTTGGGGACATTATTCATTAAATATCCTTTCCGTAAAATGAAAAATATTTTGAAAACACAAAAGTTGCGAAAATCAGCAAATTTTGTAACCGGTATTGAAAATCTCAAATACAAGTTAGCATGAGTTATCGTTCGTTAAACCGGAAGAGCTGTGACGTCATTTGCGACGACCGTCTGTCACAACAACTACTGAACTAGTTGGTACCGGGACTATGGATTCCGTGGATTTTAGTGACAACGAGGATATTCCAGAAGTTTCCTTAACACTGGACATTCAGCCATACATGTATGAGCCAGACTGCACCGATTTAGAGGTTTTAAGTGAATCTGAATCGTCTGAGTTGGATGTTAGTGACGACGAACAGGGTCAGGAAACCGGCAGTATGACTTGCGTCAATGCAGATCTTACACCAGAATGGTTCGTTTAAGCTCGATTTTTCAATCCTTGGTACAAAATGCATTTAGATATGTAAAGTATTTGACGCATGCCTACCTCAAGTATCCGCCTTTTCCGCACGACATTGCTCCTTACTCTTTTCCTGTTCGGTGTTTCGTAGAGTGCGTCCGTGTATACCTTTGGACAAGATCGCTAATCACATCGCTTCTATGCACCTTTCCGTGAGAACCAAAGGACTCCTAAAGAGCCCTAATGTTCGGGTTAATTTTTAATCTCTGGCTTCATTCATCAGTTTATACTATATGTATGTTGAATAAAAGTTGGAGGCGGGTAAATTCGTACAGAACCGTGTAAGTTCGTACACGTTTTCCGGAAAGTTCGTACACCACATTAAATCATCGTTATTTATGTTACATCAGACGATATAAACTCGTTATATTGACGTTATAAATGTATATTTTGAGAGTTAACGATAATTGATAAAATCAGAGTGATCTAGACTCGTAACTAACAATAAAAAGGTAAACTATCGATCGCTGAGTAGGCCTGATCGTTGAGGTTTTTTTTTTCAGGATACTCGATACACGTTTGGTATCTGGCTCATTTGTTATGCCCTGATAGAAGCCACGGGGAAACGGCAGGAGACGTATACAATGAAAGTAAGCCAGGAAAATTGTTGTTGTTAATTTCTCGAATAAGTGTAAGAAAGGATATAGACTAGTCTCCTAGTACATTTCTTATCCGAGGCTGTGCCCATTAGTCGAAATGTGTTGACTCTGTTACATATAGTGTACACTATTTTTTTACGTGTAGTTGTCCGACTAAACAAAATTGAAATGTTTATTTAGTTCCACTTCCGAATTTGTGCACACACTTTCGAGAACCGATGTAATGCTATAGCTTGATTTGAAGACTGGTTCTTCTCCTTCAGTTTAAGACCATGCATGCTCAAATCCACCAAATACCGTCGATGTTACAGCAGTTAGAAACTAAAAAAATATATGTATTTTCGCCATGGACGAGTTCATTACATTTCAATTTTAAGTGTATTAGTATTTTTTCTCAGTCACGACAGGTGTCTATATAGCTAGCTGTGACAAACTTAAAGACACTTATTATAGGTTGCGCGTCACTTTAGGGAGTTGGAGCAGTTTAAAAGTACATGTATGTATAACCAGTAATGTTTCAGAAAGTGTTAAAACTACAAACGTATCTTGACTGCATAGCATAGTAGACAAGCTTCCAGTTTTACAACCGAGAGGTCGCCATATTCTAGAAACCAAAAATATATTAAACCTATGTTATTTAATTTTAGTATTTGATAGATTAATATAAATATACTATATAATAATAATACATGTTCTATTGTTAGAGAAAGTAAAAGTTGAAATACTTAAATAGCAAAGTTCTAAAATGGGAATTGTTGTGGAACGCCTACGAGTTGGGATTAATAAAATCTTTCATCCCCTTGGGGTGAGATAGGGGGATCTCAACCTGAGGGGGGAAGATTCTTAATTTGCCAAACATGAGGCTTTGCCGAGTGTTTGGTAACTTAAAAATATTCCCCCGAGGGTTGAGATCCCCCTATCTCATCCCCAAGGGGGTGAATGATTATTTTTCTCTTACCCTGTTGTTCCTGTCCAAGTGTAAGACGAAGCATATTGTTTGTAAACAGGAACACGTGGATAGCGTATTAATATTATATGTATGCGTCAGACGGTTAACGCATCATATTTTAAACATTTTAAAATCAATCCCATCAATGTCAAACGTAAACACCACAAGATTAGCAGACGAACTTGTGTATGTGTGTGACCTCATAAAAGTAGCTCTTCCAAATTTAATAAGTTTTAGGTAACATTAAGAACTTAAAAGAAGTCATTATATTATGATTAAATTATAATATCATACAGACATTCTGTAAGAGCCAGCTTTTCACTCAGTAACTGTCTAAAGTTATCAAAATTAGGCGTTTAGACATTGTGTACGATTTGTAGTATAGATCTGCATTGCCTGTACGAACTTACCGGTACTGTGTCATACGTATATGAGTGTAGTATGGTAAGTTCGTACGCTTAAAAACTGTGAATTTTATTAAATATTAAAATGTGGGCATTTGGAAATATATGGTTAGAAAGCAAGATCAAACAAATAGTTATCGCAACACTCGGCTCTACTTGTTCAGTTGTTCCATGTATTTTCATAATAGCAATGTACTTACGACGTGTGTCAGATTTTCGGACTGCTGAAAACCTCTCCGGAACATGCAAGTTTGTTTTTCCGACACCAACTTCTTCCATCCAATCAAATTATAGGATGTATCCATATCAACAAGGTGTCTAAATATAGTACACAGAGTAGCTCGATAACTCACTGTACATGTACGTCGCATCTTTAACACAGAAAACAACACCAGCATATTTATATAAGCCTTTAATTCAACATGTACAAACTTAGATGCCTGTACGAACATACACGGACGCACTCTACAGCTAGGTCCTCATACTTGGAGGTTAAAGGGGTTAACATGTGAACCAAACTGCTTGAACACTTTGGTGAATAATCAAAAAGTGTTGGTATCGCTCCCGGATTTAATCTCAGACTTTTAGGTTCAAAGCCTATCGACGACATCAATTGTGGATCTCTCACGAAGCTGCCTGGTTCAAAATGGTTTTGACAGAGTCTCGCGTGTAAGGTTGGAGAAAATCCCTTTCTCTTTACCTTAATTGTCCATGTTTTCCGCAGCTTTTTGTCCTTTGGGAACAGGAACATACTGATTTTCTCTCCATTATTGGAATTACTGTTACAGTTCAGCCAGGGACAGTACGTCCCTGGTTCAGCGCAGCACAGTGTACCATGTTTGTTTACGTTTTCCGGACGACTGCCTCCGAACTGACAGCTGGCGCGCTTTCCGGTCGTCACAAATGACATCACAGCCAAAGGGAAGTAACTGCGTACATACTCTGTGCTTCCCAAGGTGTACGAGTAAACGGGCCGTTTTCAAATAATAAATTATGCACAAATACGGATTTTTTTTGAAAAAATAGAATGACAACTAATTATAATATGTTTTATTAATAGTTTGACACTAAATTTGACGTGTTTTAGCATTTGGTGGTTGTTCACCTTTAAGCCTTGACACTTTACGAGCTTTGCACACGTACTTAACCATGTCAGCACACACTGTTGTTAGTGGTATAGTTGTACATGCAAAACTTGACAAAGTGACATGGTCAGCACACACTGTTGTTAGTGACAAGTCAAGTTGACACATTTCTCAAGGTCGGTATCCGAAAAGAACATATACATATACAACCATACCACTAATAATAGTGTGTGCTGACCATGTCACTTTGTCAAGTTTTGCATGTAAAACTATACCACTAACAAGAGTTTGTGCTGACATGTCACTTTGTCACTTTGTCACGTTTTGCATGAACAACAAGGATTTTTATCTATGAAAATAAGCGTGGCTTTTTTGGCTTTTCACTATTTTCCGGAATGCGTTTATAGTGTGCACGTGATAGCATTAAGAATGTAAGTATATTCTTTTAACAATCTATTCAAATTGTATACAGTGACATAATAAGGTTGTAACAAGAATTAATTAGTTTTGGTTCCTTATCCTGTCTGGTCAGACAGTTTGTTCTGTAGCTGTTCGCTTCACATCTTATAACGCATGCGCATAACACGCCATTTCATCGTAAACAACATGACATGCTGTGGAAAGTGTCAGTGAGTGAAAACCGTGTCCACGTCAGCTTCGAAGCGAAAAGTTGCTTAATGGTCAAAAGACAGCGCAAGGATTTCGATACAGAAGCATTATTGTAGGTTGGAAGTATTCAAAGGAGAAAATATAACCACTTTAACAGTTAGTATAGTGCATGTATTCTTCCGCATAGCCGGTACAAAGTTGAATAAAGCTGAAATGAAATCGGCAGAAATGCTGTCTACGTTATGAATAAGTATCTAAAACCATTTACCTCGCTAAGTGTTTGACTAGGTTGGAACACATATGAACTTATTTTGTAAATGGGTATGATTTGGAGATAATGTTCATTTGCATGTCTATATATACAGTAGCTTATGTGACAGACAGGGATATATTTGACTGGTTAGTTTCCGATGGTGCCCTCCAAGGCATAATTATTGTGATGTTGTACAGTACGGTCACGTCGTGTAGCAAACTATGATGTTCTCTCCTCTGTCGGTACCCGGGATCACGTGATATACGTGCACTATAAGATTTACAATTATTTTTTGTATTCTTTTATAAGAGGGAGAACCTAAATCGGATCACATAACAAAACTACTTTTAAATCTTAATTGTGTCAACAGTTTACGTTTTGATCTTTACTTAGAATGTATGATAATGCAACAGTTTTTGTCTATAATGATTCAGTTACGACTAAAAAAGCATCGGAATACGTATTGAAAACGGGGAGAAAGTCGTTTGTTTGCGTTATAAAAATGGCGCGTGCGGCTTGGACTACGGTTTTTTGTTTTCCACAATAGAGAAAATGTCTACCATCATGCATGTTTTAATACTTCTATTCTTATTCAAATTCCAGAAATTAGGGATGAGACAATTACCGGGATGGGACCTGTACTGAATATGTTACCAAATAAATTGCACGTCATGTGTCCTTAATAAAATAAACAAAATAGTTGCAATAAAGAAAAGTCATCTCGACATAAAAAGGGTTTATTTACAAGTTTGCTTACATCTTTGTGTAACTATCTAACGCGGTCCATATCTGACACATATTCTGCATGTACATGTTTTGACTTTGCCAGAAATGTTTATTGTGTTTGATGACTAATATGACTAACTAAGTGGTAAAGCGTATGAAGACATTGAAAGTGGGAAAGAGATTATGCATGAACATATACAGATATACTGCATGGTATTGAATATAGTGGTCAAAGACAATGAGTTGTAATAAGAAATTTCACAAACAGTTCTCTTTGTTATAATTGCGAATGCAAACATGCACTTTATGAAAACATTTAAAAAGGGGTATTCGTCCAGTTAATACTTCTTTTTAAGAAAGGTTTGTCCCATGGTTGAGGGAAGGTGATTGGTCCCGTACCCATTTATACCGGACTCATTCCTGGTGTCTACAAATAATGCCGAAATGCCAACAAATATTTCCACATTTGAATATAATGTAACATGTGTGCAATTAACTTCTGATGATGAATACTTTCTGATAAAGAGATTCAATAAGTAGTTTCAACACGGCCTTAGAATCATATTCCTTGGTTTCATAGTGCGGTAAGAAGTTGTACGACGCCACTCTCTGGAGGCCCCTTTGGAAACTTGGCATCGCTGTCAGTACTGCCTCGTTTCAAAACTGCCAAGTGACGTTACCGGCGCTATTTGTAACAGGGCTTCCCCGAACAATTCGAGTGGTCAAACTGGACATTTGGAACGGACTATGAATATGGGGATGGCAAGAAAACTACTAGAAATCTACAATGTAGAACTTCCGACTATGTTGTCGTTATCCCACATAAGGATAACCGTTGTTGTGCGCATCTTATACAACGCCTGCTGCTGCAAATCGCTAACGTCAGTAAAAATAATGTTAGGAGGGTGATACCAATGGCATATCACTGGAGGAGTTCACTTTTATTGAACCAGCATGCTATTTTCAAGCGACTTTCGCAGAAAAACAAACCGGACAATACCAATTGAGTTTATTCATAATAGACACGTGAAGATGTCATGTGAACATTTATTAACAAACTGGACCGAAAGCAAACTTCATGGATACTACGATACCAACGAAAGAAGCAACTTTCCTAGCAGTTAACTTTTGACATCTCATCATCTTAGTAAGTGTTTTCATAATTATCATTCCGTTTTCCAAATCCCATAATAGCCATTCCAACTTCTGAATTGGAGACCACAGTCACCATTTAAATTGTCACAATCACTCTCTAGATTACAGAAATACTCAAAATTAGAATACTCAACTTTACTTGTGTTCACTGTTTGGCCCTGCAGGCCCTCTGACGGTTGGACCTAGCGCCTGTCTGTCCCGGAAGTATTGGTTACTGATGGTGTTGGGGCACTCTCTGACGAAGTTTCATAGGAGTGAGCGATCCGTGACATGAAGGTCCGTTTTGCGTTTGATACGCGGAAACTTCGAAGGGCGGACGGAGATGGCCTTGACGTGAAAGCAGGACTACGGAGAAATAGTCCCCTTGTAGGTCTTGACCATGGCGAAGAACGAAATCCCGATGTAGTGGATGTCTTTAAAGGTACCGTCTGACTGGGTCACGTCACCTCGCTGCACTGTTGATAGCAGTACGCAGCTGTCCGGCGCTCTGTACTACCAAGCGGACACAGCCTCCGCAACCTTATAATATTATCTCATTACCTAACACGTGTCCTAACCCTACCTAACACGTGTCCTAACCCTACCTAACACGTGTCCTAACCCTACCTTACACGTGTCCTAACCCTTATAGATAATTATTGTTAAGACAATTCAATCCTCCATGCTCATATGCATGCCCGTAGTCTGCATCGCATATGATTGCAAAGTAGTTGAATAAATGCTACGGGCTTAGCCCTCTGACACAACTCGTCCCCAAATGTCTCGTAAATTTCTGCCTTACACTTATTCAGACCATATTAAAGGTATGGAGCGCAAGTTCATTCCGTTATGTCGAGCCTTCAGTTCAGTAGCAAGAAAATCAACGAGGTTAAGCGTGTATCCGACTCGGATCCGCAGATTGTGACCCTACGAGAAACACTCCTACAAGGTTGGACAAACCTTCAAGATAATTGTCAAACTTCAATCCTCGATTACTGTACCTTCCGTGACAAGCTCTCGGTTATAGAGGGAATAGTGTTCAAAGGTCAAAGGGTCGTCATACCAAAGGATATGAGGTCGTCATTATTAGACAAAATCCGTACAGGTCATATGGGCATCGACAAATGTCGGAGAGCACGTGATGTTCTTTTCTGGCCCAAAATATCAAAGGACATTTCCTACTTGGTATCGAACTGCTCCATTTGCACGGAGATGCGGACTGACAACCCAAAAGAACCACACTAACCAAACCCGTACCCAACAGACCATGGCAAATCGGTGCCACAGAATTATTCAGTTGGAACGATCAAGAATTTGTAGTCGTAGTCGTTTCCTTGAGAAAACTCGGAAGTACGCGGAGTAGCAATGTCATCGCGAAACTTAAAGGCATGTTTGCTTGTCACGGCATTCCCGAGAAAATCGTACCTGAAAACGGACCCCAGTACGCCTCGTACGAATTCAGTCAATTTGCGAATGATTGGGATTTCTGTCACGTGACATCAAGGCCTCATTTTCCCCAGACAAACGGTTTGGCTGAAAAGACTGTCCAAACAGTCAAACGTTTATTTTGCAAGGCCAAGGCAGACAGTAAATATCCATACTTAGGTATATTAGAGTACCTCAAAAATAGTCTCGGTGTAAACAAAATTAAATATATTATTTTCACATATGTCCAAAAATAAAAGTGATCCTTAGCAAAATATGAGCAGTATATATAAAAATTGACGCCGGACGACGGAAGCCCCACCACAGTATAACCTCACCGAGACCGTCAGGCTAGGCAAAACTACACTAAATATTGTTTAAAAGAGTACCACCGATACCTGTGGCCTTTATCCGTATTAACGAGTTACTTCCCTTTAAACTACAATAAAAAAACCATACGTACATGTACTGTCCGGGTGGTATTTCATGGTGTGACTATATAATGTAAGGATGTGATTACCTGTATCGGGATGTCACCGTATGTGTGAGCACGTGACTACGGTGGTAATTAGATGTGTTAGTTCCAGGATACACGTGAAGGTTGTCGGATAGGTGATGTTATGCCGTATAAAAGTTAATTTTGTCAAAACCTCTCTTCCTGTCCTCCCAAAGGATATGAATAGGTGAACCCATCGTTTTCTCTAAAACCGGTCCAATGGAGATTCTGCTAGATAAAGTAGCTGGAGGGATTCTGAAGTGTCATTGCCAATATCCTGAACATTTCGGGAACAGGACAGGCCATGCCACTTTAAGCAATGAAAATCCCGTTTGATTACCTGTCCTACAAAAAGAAAGAAAACAAAAACAAAAACAAGACATTTCTTTTAAAAAGTTAAACGGAAGAGTTTTGATGTATGTGGTTATAAGTCTTAAAAAGCGATGTACTTATTACATTCCGTCAAACATATGATTAGGGTTCACCCTAACCCTAACCCTTTTGGTAGTTCAACGGGAGATAACTCGCAAATGTGTGTCTATGTCGCCGCCAACTCAAATATCGAAAGGATTATCGTATAAATGTGTGGCTTCTGTGTTATTTTGTACACCTTAGATATCAAGTAATCGTTATAAGATATGGAAAGCATATATCGTGACATCTGAAATGTCAAGTATACAGAGACGCCAGATAAACATATGAGGCGTGTAGCCCGGGGCCATTCTGAGATGTAGGTACTAAATTACACGATATGTTCGTATTTTACACAAAGCAATCATTTTGTAGAAACTGTCTTGTCAACAAATTCTATATGAGTCAAAGGACGCAGGGAACCCTAAAACTATCTGAAACGGCTCTACCAAAGCCAACTCGCTTTTAAACTCAAATCCACTTCGCTTTTCTATTTACCACGTATCTATTTGTTTTACATAATAACCGATCCACTGGCCACAATATCACGTAGGGGTGGGTTGTGGGGTTGTGGGGGGTGTTGGGGATTAAATCTTATTAATAAAACAAGAGGCCCAATGGTCTGTATCGCTCACCTGAATACGTTTAAAATATTTGGTATGAATGAACGGGGTGAAGTTTTTTAGGATGACAGGATTTTGGTCGCCAGAAAGCCAACAGCGCGTGTATGACAAGGATTGGGTACACCTCAACGCGGAAAGGAACCGTAAATACTACAATAATTTGAGAGGTGCATTGGTATCTGCATTGAGTCAGCTCCATCCTTAATTAAGGTGGGTCTTTCAATTAATTGCACCATAATCATAACTTCGATACTTCTTGTATCCAGATTATGGAATCGATGGTGTTGGGGAACAATAATAATTGCACATTACAATTAGAAACCTACTTCAATAAAGTTCATGTTAAAATATCTTTTTAACAGTGTTATATTATCAAGGTTTATATTAATTAGATATTATTGTAACGGTGTTACATAGCAGCAGTGTTGCATAATAATAATTTGATATTTTCCTGTGACGGTAATGGGGGTATATAACAGTGCAACGGTTTTTGCATTATGGTGGTATCATTTAGATTTGAATGTAACGGTGTTACATATATCAGTTATATTGGAGGGTAACGGTGTTGCATTATGGTGGTATCATTTATATGTGAATGTAATGGTGTTACAGTGCAACGGTGTTGCATATATCATTTATATGTAAATGTAACGGTGTTACAGTGCAACGGTGTTGCATATATCATTTATATTTGATTGGAACTGTGTTACAGTGCAACGGTGATGCATACTTTGGTTTATCAGTTAACTGATGATACATATACAGAGATTATTGTACAATGTTTACAGATGGTCAAGACAACGCTGCCCAAGAAGTTGAGTCAGACAACTATGCCTTCACCCAACAAAATGACAACAAAAAGAAAAAGGGTAGCTTCGGCTGCGGCAGGCTCGGCAAAACAGCTGAGAGCTAACCTGCTGGAGGAACATGCTGACATGCAGCTACAACAGAATGAGCAGCAACAACAGGATGAGCAGCAACAACATGAGCAGCAACAACATGATGAGCAGCAGCAACAGGATGAGCAGCAACAACAGAATGAGCAGCAACAACAGGATGAGCAGCAACAACAGGATGCAATGGTGGCTGCGATAACGCAATAATAGAGGCAACACAACAGCCTACAGGAAGGTCCAGAAAGAAGGAGACGGGTAACAAAATGAAAAGGAGGAGAAGGGTTTCCCCATCACCTACATACTCAAGTTCATATGATGATGATAGCACAGATTCCAGCAGCGGCAGTAGTGACAGTGACTCTGACTCTGAAAGTGATTCTGATAATAAGCTAAATACCTTTTCTCCTGGTCTATTGTCATGTCCAATCGCTAGTCAAGTAGAAACAAAAATAAAAAAACCAAAATATGGCAAAACAAATATGTTCATTTTGCAAAATTGTTGCCAAGCCAAAAGTTAAGCTATGGAAATAATGCAGATTCATTTCAGCTCCAGAGTGCTGGCCGGTCACAATTTCGGGTACCAAGACCAAACAAAGGCCAGCACTTAACACAATTGAGCAATGGACAACTGCTTTCATAAAATTTGTCGCCACTTATTCAAAAATATTTCCTAAAGAAATACCACAGGTTTTAAAACATGGGGAAATAGTTCGTGACATGGCAGCTAGAAGTACAGGTACAACATAGCTGGATTATGACCAGCAAGTTAGAAGGGATGTGGAGGTCAGGTCCATACCTTGGGGGGTTTTCCATACTGAGTATTGGGTAATGGCAAACACTCCAAAGCAACATAGCCATCACCAGAATGATCAGTCCTTTCGGGACCGATCCGGGGGGTTCAGAGCAAAGCATAGACAAATACCCATTGGTCATTGCTTCGCGTTGAACATTAGAGGGAAGTGTACAGTACAATCCTGTCCATTCCAACACACATGTTTTCAGTGTGGTCAGTCCCATTCAGTACTCAACTGCTCGCCCGGCAGCACATTTAGGAAAAACAACGTTAATCCCTACCAAAAACCTCAAACCAAAAACCAGCAGACATCAAAACAAAACTAGTGTCCCCACCGAAGTTGTTACATCTGTGCAGGTAAATATTCTAAAACTATTTCTAAAAGCTTATGATAAAGAGCTTTCAGAAGTGTTGGTATCTGGGTTTTCAGAAGGTTTTCGCATTAGTTTTGAAGGGCCTCAACAATTTCGAGTCAGTCGTAATTTAGTTTCAGCTTTTCAGAATGAGGAGCTGGTATGACAAAAATTGAACGAGGAAATTTCATCGGGAAGGATAGCGGGTCCTTTCCATAACCCACCTTTTCAGTTCATGCAATGTTCCCCAATTGGTTAAGTACCCAAAAAAGAACCAGGGGAATACAGAATGATTCACCACTTGTCTTATCCAGAGGGATCCTCTGTGAATGATCACATCCCTGACAAATGTTGTTCAGTATCATATGATACGGTAGACGATGCGGTGAGTCTCATTAAAAAAACTAGGTCAAGGTTGTTTGCTAGCTAAAACAGATATAGCTTCAGCATTTAGGATCGTTCCTATACATCCCATGGAGCATAAGCTGCAAGGAATATATTTTCAGGGATTGTACTTTTATGATAAATATTTGCCCATGGGTTGCTCAATTTCCTGTTCTATTTTTGAAAAAATCAGTACAGCTCTCCAATGGATTGCATGTACAAGATTTGGGGTTGCACATATGCTTCATGTCCTGGAGGATTTTTTGTTCTTGGGTCCAAAGGATCCACGTATTTGTGAGCTGAGTTTGAAACAGTTCATAGACATGTGTGAAGTGTTAGGGGTTCCGATTAAAGCAGAGAAGAATGAAGGTCCTACCTCAGTTTTGACTTTTTAAGGAATTGAATTAGACACAAACCTTATGGAAGCTAGATTGCCAAAAGAAAAAGTCGAAAAGAATTGGAAGGCTTTAGAAGCCACAAAGAAGAAAAAGAAAGTAAGTCTAAGAGAGTTACAATCTTTGTTGGGCTTACTCAACCATGCCTGTTGCGTTGTGGTGCCAGGTCGTGCGTACCTTCGGAGGTTGATAGATCTTACGAAGGGAAAGACAAAGCCCCACCATCATATACGTGCAAGCTTGGAGTAGTTTCATTGACACTTTCAATGGAAAATCCATATTCCTGGATGAGGCCTGGAAGGATTCTGCTTAACTCCACATTGTATACAGATGCATCTGGAGCGTTAGGCTATGGGGCAGTATTCGGAGATGATGGTACGGTAGGCTATTCAAATCACCCCGCGTCCGTGGTCCGTCGTCCGTCGTCCGCCGTCCGCCGTCCGTCCTTAAACAATTCTTGTTATCGGTATTTCTCAAGAAGTACTGAAGGGATCTTTCTCAAATTTTCTATGCAGGTTCCCCATGATCCTTCGCTGTGCAGGGCAACTTTTGAGACTGATCGGATAAAAAACATGGCCGACAGGCAGCCATCAAGGATTTTGATATTGAAAGTTTTTTATCGGTATTTCTCAAGAAGTACCATAGGGATCTTTCTCAAATTTTATATGTAGGTTCTCCATAGTTATAGCCTGTGCAGGGCAACTTTTGAGACTGATCGAATAAACAACATGGCCGACAGGCAGCCATCTTGGATTTTGATAGTGAAAGTTTGTTATCGCTATTTCTCAAGAAGTACAAGAGGGATCTTTCTCAAATTTTAAATGTAAGTTCCCTTTGGTCCTTAGCTGTGCATGGCAACTTTTGAGACTGACCAGATAAACAACATGGCCGACAGGCAGCCATCTTGGATTTTGATAGTGAAAGTTTGTTATCGCTATTTCTCAAGAAGTACCAAAGGGATCTTTCTTAAATTTCATTTGTAGGTTCCCCTTGGTACTTAAGTGTGCATGGCAACTTTTGAGACTGATCGGATAAACAACATGGCCGACAGGCAGCCATCTTTGATTTTGATAGTGAAAGTTTGTTATCGCTATATTTCAAGAAGCACCTGAGGGATCTTTCTCAAATTTTATATGTAGGTTCCCCTTAGTCCATAGCTGTGCAGGGCAACCTTTGAGACTGATCGGATAAACAACATGGCCGACAGGCAGCCATCTTGGATTTTGATGGTGAAAGTTTGTTATCGCTATTTCTCAGGATGTACCAGAGGGATCGTTCTCAAATTTTATATGTAGGTTCCCCTTGGTCTCTTGTTCCTTTGTTGTGCAGCAGTGCCGTAAATGGACGGTCGCCTGCTCGCCAATGGCGGTTAAAGACTTGCTCGGGCGACCAAAAGTTGTCAAAAGTGAGGTAGTCACTGGCCAAACAAAAATGGTTTGGGCGACTGTCGAAAAATTAATGAATAAAAGAAATTATAGTCCCTTCCACATTAACTGGGGGCAGTACATTTTTCAGTTGTCATTACTGTCCGTAATTTAGAAAATGCGATGATTTGTTTTTCAGATTTTCTAAATAAATACTGTCTTCTTTGTCTACATAACCCCCACCCCTATACACATAAATAGTGACACTATAAGTATATAGGGGATTGGGGTCGGTCTGTGCCTTTAGTGCGCTCTGTGCACAAGGGCAAGGCAGACTTAACCCCTACCCCTATACACATAAATAGTGACATTCTAAGTATATAGGGGATGGGGTCGGTCTGTGCCTTTAGTGCGCTCTGTACACAGGGACAAGGTACAGACTTAACCCCCACCCCTATACACATAAATAGTGACACCATAAGTATAGAGGGGATGGGGTCGGTCTGTGCCTTTAGTGCGCTCTGTACACAGGGACAAGACACAGACTTAACCCCACCCCTATACACATAAATAGTGACACTATAAGTATATAGGGGATGGGGTCGGTCTGTGCCTTTAGTGCGCTCTGTACACAGGGGCAAGGCAGATACTTAACCCCCACCCCTATACACATAAATAGTGACACTCTAAGCATATAGGGGATGGAGGTCGGTCTGTGCCTTTCCCCTTATGGCTCTTTACCACTCAAAATTGAAAAATATATCGTTAATGGGCATATAATTTATTTTGATGTTTATTAAGCCCTTGTGCTCTTAGTGTTTAGATAGACAAATATGCAAAATCTGTTTTGGTTTACAGTATTTGAGACGTCACGTTTAATTCCTTATGTCAAAAGGTGATGATATAAGTAGTAAAATGGCGTAAATGTCATATTTTGAAGAAACAAATGTTAATTGTTATTTATATTTACGTCTGAATTTGTTTACGATGCCGATGTTAGATCTGATAGACTGGTAAGATGATACAATATATATATCATTGATGATATTCTGTGATTAGAGTTTATATCATCACCTTCAAATGAAAAAATACATGTATAGCAATGCCCTTGCATAAACTCAATGAATACAGAAGTGCAACACACTGTTAACATATTGCCGTAACTTTGCCAATATTTCATATCTTTAAAAATCACGTATGACTCGGTTACTGTTGAAATATTGAAAGTATTGAAACCAAGTGCATTGCTATACATTTTCAATAGGAACCACTAAGACTGCACCGTAGTCTTAATTCAACAAGCGCACCAGAAATTTCACATCAAACCAAACAACAAAGTAGTATAAGAAAATCTTTATTATTGAAAATGTACAAAAAAATATAAAAGATAAGTTTGATAAAAAATAAATCTCTATAAGAACCTGCATCTATAGCGCATATTCAAACACTGTAGAAGTCAAGGTATCTCTAAAACGGTAAAGTAGATTTCATTGATGTATGTACCTACCGAAATGTACAAAATCCCATTAATAAATGTTGCGGGTCCTTTAAGGTATCGGCAATATTTCGTAAGGAAATGCAAATAAAAGTTTCACGTTTAAGCCATATCTTGAAGGGAATGGCGTCTGGAGGTTTGAAGTATAAACCATACCTTGTAGGGAATGACGTCTGGAGGTTTGAGGTATATACCTACCTTGTAGGGAATGACGTCTGGAGGTTTGAGGTAAATACCATACCTTGTAGGGAATGACGTCTGGACGTTTGAGGTATATACCAAACCTTGTAGGGAATGACGTCTGGAGGTTTGAGGTATATACCGTACCTTGTAGGGAATGACGTCTGGAGGTTTGAGGTATAAACCTACCTTGTAGGGAATGACGTCTGGAGGTTTGAGGTATAAACCGTACCTTGTAGGGATTGACGTCTGGAGGTTTGAGGTATATACCGTACCTTGTAGGGAATGACGTCTGGAGGTTTGAGGGATATACCGTGCCTTGTAGGGAATGACGTCTCGAGGTTTGAGGTATATACCTACCTTGTAGGGGATGACGTCTGGAGGTTTGAGGTATATACCTACCTTGTAGGGAATGGCGTCTGGAGGTTTGAGGTATATACTTTGCCTTGTAGGGAATGACGTCTGGAGGTGTAAGGTATATACCGTACCTTGTAGAAAATGACGTCTGGAGGTATAAGGTATATACCGTTCCTTGTAGAGACGTTCGACTCCAGGCAGAAAAACCTATCGAAATATTGGGACTTTTAGAGTTATATTTTTTCGCCCCTTGGAAATCATCTGTTGTTACTTACTGATTAAATGTGACTGTGTACAAAACACGATACTGTTGTTTGATAAACCATTCCAAAATATCGATTGATAATAAGTGCACGATTTCTTTACATGTTAAACATGCAATAATAACATTCTCAAGGCATGAATTCGTTGGAGTCAATATTATGAAAGTCTACAATTCAACAATGGCCACATCGCTACAAAGAGTCAATGACAAAATCTGTTTACAAAATATGAAAGTATAACACATATTTTTGTAGTTTAAATTGGGTCAATTCACATAAACCAAGGAAGCACGAAAACATCATCATTACTTTAAACGTTCGAGTACGTCAAACAAACATCTCACATTTAGTGTGAATTTGTTATACTCTTATTGTATGAATGTCTACATTCTTTATTTTTAATATTTTTCAAATATTGGTAAAATCCAATCCAAGTCTGGAGGTTTGAGGTATATAACGTTTTGTGATGATGCCCTTTCTAATTGTTGTGCCTCCTCGTGTCTCATGGAGACTTATTACAAATGTAACTAATACTGTACATATAGCGGATGATTTTAGCAGTCTCTATAAAAACTAAAACTGTGTTCATTTTAAAATTCTTTTCAAATCAAATCGCTTTATTCTGCACGATTAAATCACACGCATTACTAAATATAATATAACTGCATGTCCATGTAAAACATGGGTAATATTCCAGAATAACAAAAACAGAAGCTAAATTAATCAAACAAACACCAATAGGAATATATGCCAACTCAGACAAAAGGAAAAAAATCATGATAACTACTTGAGGTGAAATCAGGGACTATTTATTAGGCGTACTGTCTTCCCTAAATTCCTAACTACTAGCTAATTGTAATATGCAAACATTTTGTAGTATACTAGTGTTAATCATCAGGACATATATATTGGATGGATATTTACATATATTTACATTAGCATTGCCACTATATAACACTACCAAGGCCAGTTATGTGTTATGAGACTATAACACAGGCGTAGTGATATCTCCACGGGACCGACTAACTACTGGATAGCTATTCCCCTCCGCACTAGCAAGCGGATAAGTAAAAACCCTCATTATGATTTAATAATATTCACCGTTTTATGTAAGACTATTATGAAATGTGAATTGAATTTATTGATTGATTAAATTATGGAAATAGTATCTATATTTTTGTGTTTATTTCCACGAACTATATTTTTTACGGGGAAAAGTCACGAGACAACATTCTGTAAGCAATTCCATGGGCTGTTCTACCTTTTGAACAAACACCGCGAAATTCGAATTAAAAAGTGCGTTGTGAACTTAGAAATGATAACAAAAAAAATGAAAAATGTAAATTAAGCATAAAACAGCATTCTGTTCCGTGTTATGCTCCTCTAACATGGAACAGAATGATGTTTAATGCTTAAATACACAAGGCATTGTACTGAAATGACTGCAATGAAAAGTCCTTGTAGAGAGATGTGACGATCGTGTCAGTACATACATAGCAAGTTATGTCGTGTGACACAATCACAAAAACCGTAAGTATACGTGGTGTTTGTTGTGTTAACATGTTTACTTAGTGTCCATAGGTTTTACCAATCACTGTGTCCCATTTCCCGGAGCCAAGTGTTTGGGTCGCTAACATATACATCTGAATGGTTGAGGATGGCGTGGAGCAGTTCCAAGCGTTGCTTATATCCAGGTTTCTTCTCCTGTTCCTCCGTGTTAATCATAAGCTCGATGAAATCCTTTTCGCTCTGTTAAATCTTCTGTAAGCTGTTGCTGGTTTTAACTGTCTTTGAGATCAGGGAGATCACTACCTCCATCAGAGACACAAATGCTCGTGTGATGGCCTGTAGCATTGCGTCGGTTGACACATTTTCTTCCACATTAAATTCATATTTTGCTTTGATGTCAGCGTACGTTCTTGTTACTGTTTTAACCTGTACTTTTATTATCCTAAATGTATCGTTCCTGTGCAAGTGCCACACGCATTTCTGATGGCATTTTGTACAATTGCCTTTTTTCATAACGTCACAGCGCTTTTTACGATTGTTGATCGGAATTGTGCAGGGAAAATGGCAAGTAGTATGGCACACGATACAGTTGGTAACACGCGTGCCAGGTTTAAGCGGGATTTCTTGACGATACACCTTCTCATCGTATGTAGACGTGTTGTTGAGCTCTTTGTCGATAGCAAAGCTCTTCACAGTATCTCTGTCGGACTGCACGTTCGCGAGATTCATGAGTTGTACGTTAATCTCCAATCTACGATTTTCCTGCAGATGTGTCATTTTCTCTTGTTGCCATTTTTCATTGGGCTGTGTTGTTGTCATCGGAGTGGTCTTGAACGCTGGGCAGGGTTTCATGTTTGAAAGATGGTTTAAAAATCCTTCAAATCCTCTTGAGCTTAATTTCCACGAAGTCTTTCCAAGTAGAGCGTCTTCAGTGTACGGTGGGAAGAGCGTCGAACTGTTAAAGACAAAGAAACGCTGTGTCGGGACCCCAACAGTTGAGAGGATCTTAAGCACGGATGGCTCTTTCCCGTCGGCAAACGTCAGCATAGGAATTATGTTCCCATGCATGTTGTCTCCAAATAAGGACACAATGCCATCCAGTATGTCGCTAAAGGCCTTGTCAATACCGCTAAATGTGACAGGATTGGCCTGACTGACGAAGCAAACAGCATCTATTCCATTCATACCCTTGGGACCTCTGGTGGACAGGAAGAATTTGAGACGTTTAACGAGATTCTTGTTACTTTCAACCGATTCTGGTCCTTCGTGGAAGCTCGGGGTGTCTATGATATTCAAAATGAAGTCAGTGTCTGTCGTGACCGGATGTAGTTTGTAGCTTGTGATCCATTCAGTAGGTGATTCCTAGTAAAGGAGAATATTACTGGAAATATATAATCACATGTCATCATGTGACATAAACAGTACACCAAACGACTGTAGGATGTGATATTTTAAGTTGACCATAATATCATTATATATGGTATACAGCACCAAAATTATTACAAATCACCTCACAAAGATGATATCAACGACATATCTATAAACTTTTACGACAAAAACGAGAAATTTCCTAAATTCAGCTTAATTAAAAAATGTTAACTTTGTTGTACAATTCACATACCAGGCTGGAAGATGTAATTTCTGGTTCATCTGAAATTTTTAATCGGTACTCGTGTTCCCATTTCACACCAAGACTGTGGTTGACAAGTCCGTTGATTAGAGTGGTTTTCCCTCCTGTTCTTGGGCCGACCATCAGTACAGTTTTCTCTCGAAGACAAGTCGAGTTTCCTATAAAAAGAACAATCGAGCAATATAGATAAGCAGTTACAACAATAATAGAAATAATCCGTTCCATCAAAAATAGAAATAATCAGTGCCATCAAAAATAGAAATAATCAGTTACATCACAGGTACTAGCCTCGTCTGTCAGACGCTGATTGGCTTCTAAATATAACGGACCAATCAGCACCGAGGTAACAAAAAATAGAGAAAATGGCAGGCTCTGTTCAGATTTCAGATCGTCAGCCTGACCAGCCTGAAAACTGGACTCGGGTGTCCGCCGTGATAATAAAAGGGTTTGAACTATACTACAAGTAAGTTTGTTTCCCATCGTAGAAACACTGTACTGGCATTGAATAGTGTACATGTCGTGTGTTAGGCGCTGCTCACTAGGAATTTAGCGTGTAATCCCGTGGACAGCACAGTGTGAAATTCGACCATTTTTCGATGTTTCATGAAGTCTACCGGAAATTCGACTACATGATATATGGAAAATCATGCATCTAATTAAAAAAAAATCCTGACGATCTAGACTGCTCCCGGTGTCATATTATAAATGGTTTTGACGAACGTTTTCTGGAACGGGGTCATTTTACTAAGGGGACGGAGTAAGCATCCTTGATTATATTATAGGTGTATTGACAGACGAGGCTAGTACCTGTGGTTACATCAAAAGTAGAAATAATATGTTACATCAAAAATAGATTATCAGTTACATCAACAATATATATAACCTGTTACTCAACGTTGCTATTATATACAAATGGAAGATAAAACACTTCACAGTAAAATAAAATCTTAAAAAGGGAGGATTAGATGTACCAGGTACTCTGTAGCTTACTATTTGTAAAACAGCCCTACACTTTGTATAACTATATTCCTTTAGGAATCTTCAAAACTGCAAATCTTCTGAAGCAGTAATGCAAACCTGAATAGTATCTTTAATGCTGCAAAATCATGGTAATTAAATCATGGTATTTTGTTAACAACATTTCAATATCTACTTAAGCGAATAGAAAATAAGACAAATTCCTCTTTACCACGTCAATGACGCTTAAATGTAGGCCCAATATAACAATTTGTCTGAATTAGCACCGATGTACGGACGGAGGGAACTCGTCAGTTTTGTTGAGCGCGGGATAACAATATGGAATGTTTTTGATTCAAACTTACCGTATCTACATTTTCTTGTCTTTTGATCATCGTCTTTTGATGACTGTATCTCAACTAAAGGAAGTCTGTAAACGCTTGGTGGCCCATCAATTATCTTCTTGCAGTACTTTAGGATCCCAAACACCTTTGAGCATCCTGTTGTTATTTCCGCACTCTTGCAGCTAAAATCGCTGTCACAGCCATCTGAGTAAACTGCTCGCACCATGAATTCATATCCAGTGTTTTGTAGTAGTTCGTTGAAGCGATGGAATGGTTGTTGTCTGGCTTTGGTAGAAACAAATGTCGATGACCAAATATGATCACCAGCGACTTTTATTCGGATCTCATAATGGGAAACCTCGTCTTTCTCGATCTTGTCCCATTCCAGGCATATATAATCAGTACCTATATCTGTTGACCGTGGCTGACCGGGTCTAACTGGACGTTTAAGGGATGACAGGAGGGAGATGATATAGCCCTATAAAATAGCAAAGCAGTGGAAACAATGTTGACTTATATCAAGTTCTATATTAGCTTCAGGTCTTCCGGCTTAGCTGTATAGACAAGTATTTACAATGGATGTACAAATGACGCAGAATAGCAAAGTTTAAACAACTTCGTAGAAGAATATCAACATTTGAAACATAAAATTCATAATTATTTAGAACTATTTTCCGATTTGACTTTAATACACTAAAATTATAATTTTACCATCCGTACCAGAATTATAACTATTTCCTTTCAAAACAATGAGCCTCGCACACCCTAAACAATGAAACGATATTCAGAATCTAAAGTCTCCCGCTAAACATTCGGATTAGCACAAGCATCTAGTAAAATAAAATAGACTAACAGCATAAGTTGTAATGTCTGGACAAACGGAGTTGACTTATATCAGTAACGAAGGATATGAACAAAAGTATTTGACTTTCATCAGTAACGAATTAAGAATCTGGACAAACGGATTTGACTTATTCCAGTTACGAAGGATCGATTTGGACAATTAGAGTTGACTCATATCATGATCAGCAACGAAGGATCTGGACAAACTGAGTTGACTTACTTCAATAACAAAAGGATCCGGAAAAACGGAGTTGACTTATTTCAGTAACGAAGGATCGATCAGGGCAATGGGAGTTGACTTTTATCAGTAACGAAATTATCCGGACAAACGGAGTTGACTTATTACAGTCACGAAGGATCTGGACAAACTGAGTTGACTTATTACAGTCACGAAGGATCTGGGCAAACTGAGTTGACTGATATCAGTAAAGAGCGATATGGACAAACTGAGTTGACTTACATCAGTAACGATGGATTCGGAAAAGCGGAGTTGACTTATATCAGTAATGGAAGTTTTGAAAAAAGGAATTAACTTATATCATTAATATTCATATTAATAATTAAATTAAAGTAAAACAATGCAAGTTATCAACGATTTCGAAAAATCCGGTTTTTACCCTTAACAAATTGTACACTTTCTGCAGGCAAATGTTGATGAACTGTAGCTTATCTGCAAACTGGATACCCAGCTGGAAACCGTAAATCTGGAAACCATGAACATGGTCCATAGTAAGTGACTGGCTCGTTTAGCTACGTCTCGAGTCCTGGAAAAGAAAGATGTTCGATTGTTCAAACTGATAAGTCTACATTTATATATGAATAGAACAGTGACGTTTCAAAGAAGAGGAACCTATGTGTGCATAGATCTAAACAGTGCAGTTTATGAGAGAAATCTATGTATGTTTAGACAAGGACGTTTCAGAGGAGAGGAATATATGTGTGCATACACAGGAAAGTTTCATTTGAGAGGAATCTATGTGTGCATAGACAGGGACGTTTCAGAGGAGAGGATATATATTTGTAAATAGACAGGGACGTTTCAGAGGAGAGGATTTCTATTTGTAAATAGTCAGGGATGTTTCAGAGAGTTTCTATTTGTAAACAGACAGGGACGTTTCAGAGGAGAGGATGTCTATTTGTAAATAGACAGGGAAGTTTAAGAGGAGAGGCTTTATATGTGGTTATAGACAGGGACTTTTCAGAGGGAATGAATCTATGTTTGTTTAGACAGGGAAATAAAGATGAGATACTTTCTATCTGTGTAAAGACGAAAGTTTAAGAGAAGATAATTTCTATGTGTGTATAGACGAAAGTTTAAGAGGAGGGGAACCTATGTGCGTATAGACAGGCAAGTTTCAGAGGAGATGCTTTCCTCAGTAACGACACATATCTAAAGCCCAGAGACTATAGCCATGTATCTGAAATTTTGTCGAAGGTTAGTTTGTAATCGCATTTGTGGTCTAGATATGTATTTGTGATATTATATTGTGATGCCTGATTGAAGGTTTGGTACAATTGTTGTTTAATTTTCTAAAAGTTACTTTTTGTTAATTGATACTCTGGTAATTATATTTAGTTACGCCTATTCACAGTATGTGATACTATATTATATAGAATATAGATCTACAATGTGGCAAGTATACCAAGCTTGTAACGAAATAATACCGCTCCGCACAGGGCAACTTATACATCTGCTCCCATATAAACCAGAACTGTAAGCTTAAGGTTAACTAAGGCAAAGCACGACATCGGGGGGTAAACTTGTAGTACTTTTTCATTCCGACCCTTTCAAAAAAAGAAGTAATGCCCTGTTGTTGGATGTACAACATCAGGGGGCAGTTACCATATATAAAAAAAGAATACCTGGATGCACAACCTCAGGTGGTAGTTATCATATCTTTAAAATTTCGTTGAAATTGGTTCACAACTTTAGAAGGAGTTGTTTTCTACGGACAGACAGACAGACAGATATGCATTCCGGTAAATCTATACCTTTCCATATTCAATATCATGTCAAGTTTACAGGAGAGCATTTCTTGTTGTCTCCAATAATATCAACAAAATATAAAATTAATCCCTATATTTACAGTATTTTCCCTCATCCTTAAACGTTTTATTTCATTTCACTTGAATGCTTAAAGAATAACATAAATTCGACACTTTATTTCGCTGACTGGAAAAGCTACATTCTTGTAACTCCCTATACTTTCACTCCCGATACCTTAGCAACAGAAGAAACGGCCATTATCAATATTTCACATTCTTGCATAGTTGCAATTTAAAATGTGTTTTTTTTCTGGAAAATTTGTGGTCCAAACAAAACGATTTTATTCGCACATTATGCTTTAAAATAGCAATTTGTTATCGAAATTTGTTCAACAGAATGAGTGTATCGCTTTTATTGTCATGTGTCGTGTTTGACTTCGCTACAGAAGGAAGTGTGGAGCGAATAGCCTGGTGTTAGGAGATGAATAGTCTCTGTAAAACAACCTTACCAATGATTCGTTTCTGTGTCCACTTACAACTACATGAATTGGCGAGTTTCGTAGTTTCGTAGACTTAGCTTTGAATAGATGTAGCAAACAACACAATGTATAATGCGTCGCACATTTACTACAAAGACAAATAATCAACCGTTCTTGGTTTTCATACACGCGTGTTGCATTTGTTTAAAAACCACAATCTTAGATCTACCGTACTGCACATTTCGTCAGTGCAACCATTTAGTGTTTTCGGCCGAGTTAATTACAATTGAAATTAAACATTTGCATAATTCGAATCGCATTTTGTTCGCACTTCGATATGCAGTTGCTGTTTTTACAGTTAATCTATTACAGAAAGCTGTTTAATTATAACTTTGTGAACACGATTTAAAGGGCGTCATCACAAAAGTTTTGTCAGCTTTCCTCTGCATTAACCAATACGGTACGAAACACTATCAGCTTTATACATTTATATACAAAGGCCTGTTCGGAATATATTATCTATACAAACAAACATAAAAACTTAGTTACATCTTGGATGTACTCACGGGTACGGATTTCAAAGCCTTTTCACTTTCACACCTTTTAGACAAAACTTTAAAGGATCATTATTTAATATAGATGTTCTCTCAGACAGATAACATCATTAATACGATAGTTGTGGACACTGTATTGCTCAAATGTGCTTTGTGTTCCCTTATCGTATTATTTAATGCAAAAATCAGAAAAAAAGGATCAATTTTGTCGTAATTGTTTTGTGACGTTTTGATATAATATAACAACATATACATGTACATAAACGATAAAGAGTTCGTAAATATGGTTATGGTTCGTAGATTTTCTATACCACAACATATGCACATAAGCACTCAACCTGGTGTATGTTTAATTAGTCAGACGAAGATAAATCAATATCAATTGTCGGTCTTTGGCAGTCATCAAATCGTGCTACATGCATCGAACTCAAAGAAAAAATGTACAAGGAAACAGTTGTGTTACACAGATTGCTGTATAAGATAAGAGGCATAGGTATATCCGGGTTAAGTGGAATCAACCATTGTTTGTATTTGAGAATGCACAGTAATCGTGTTTATCTATTTCTTTCCTTTTTAACGATACATTTGATAGTATTTTGGTATTTTCTTACAGCTAATGCATCCAAGCAATAACTTTTAGACACATGCGCTGATCAATAGGCGAGGCATGACGTGCGATATCGGATCCGTGGATATGTATTGAAGCGCAACGGCGGGGTGGTAGCCGGTCGAAGCTAACAGCCTTTTCCAGTAAAAATAAATAAATTTACAACATTTGATAAAGAGCCCATTTAACTAAAATAAGGCACTCTAACGCACCTTACATATATCTCCAACTCATTCAATCTATACAACGGATTTTAGGAATTCGCAGGAGCTGTCTTATCAGGCGCTGACTACTAGTCCTATGCCACCTGTCTAATATCTCCTATTTGTGTATGCTTGAGTGTGTACTGGAGGGTTGTTTTGTAAGGGACCATACTGTTCAATTATGTTTCCTCACTAGAATGCTAAAGCACTGCAACACCAAATGGATGTCATTTCATCGGGTGACGACTCAGCTTATTACATCAGCATAAATGTATAGGAAAATTGAGGCCACGACAATTTTGCACTGTTACAGGAAAAACACCGGAAGCTTTTGTGTTCATTCAGGGATATTGGTCAAGGTCTTTTTCCACCTCTTCGCAATATTGGTCAATGGTGTATTTCGAGAAGGAATATGCTCTTAATTACGCCTGTGTGCCTTAGAATATACCCTACTTACAATACCTTAGCTGTTATGCTGGAATACATGATGTCACTGTAAACACTGATATCGAGTTTTTTTTAATGATAAATGAACATTACTTTGGTTATGTCACTTGGCAATCACTACGAGAATAGCGGTAACGTACATGTAGGGTAAAATGGCGTCAAATACCAGAAACCTAGGGCTGTATAGATGGTACGTCACATGAAATATATATCCCCGATAATTATGGAGCTTTACTTCTCATGGGGTGCGTGTAATATCCTTCTCCTATCATAACACCATTCATCTCCACACAAATTGATTGGAAGCCAATCAGTTGTCAAACCGCCTTTATTTGTTTAACAGAACAACGGGAAGATATAGAGTGTTCGTAGAGAGCAGGATATACCAATTAAAGAATTTCGGGTTATTTTGGTACTTTGTGTCGTTACAGGAGAGAGAATGAGTCAGATTTGTTGTTAGGTGTGCTTGTCTTGACCAGAGAATGACTGGATTATTTTTTTATCAATTATAAAATATTCAACATAAAGTTTGTACACGAACGGATTCTGGTGCGTCAGTTTGACGGCTATGTGTATCGATAGTCGTACATACACAGGTATACGTATGTAGTGATTATACGCTCATGCTATAGATCAAGCGGTACGTAAGTCGCGAGAAGACTTATTAAAGTAAAAACAAAATATCGAATATTTCCCCTTCACATACGTATGCGTAAACGTATATAAATCCTATTGTAATACTTATAGTCTGTATGCGTCATTTAAAGGGGCATCACGGTGAAGTGTAGATTTTTTGTGTCTTTTATTTCAAATACTACATAAACATATCAAGTGAGTCTCCTTATGGAAAATAACGATCGGATTTGGCTGATATAGTTTCATAAAAATGAATGATTTTAAGAAAATTATCGGGATTTCTACCTGTCTGACCAACGTTTTATCAAGGATTTCCAGAGCTACTAGAACGCATGCGCCTAGGTAATTTCATTATGAATAGTTCAGTCGTCAGGTAGCTGCAAGGCAGAACGTTTTGGTGCAAACTTTCTGCCTCACACTGTTAACTGTCGCAGTAAAGAAAATTACTAATACAGTAAGAGAAAAAAACACATGTAATAAACCAGGTAGTATAATGCCCAGTAAATTGCCCTAAACAACAACCTTAGCTAAACTATCTAAACTACTGATACTATCACTACATCATTTATCTAACTCTACATATCACATAACAGACATAAAACAAACTAGCTACAATTGTATACCATTAGTGTTAGGGTGGGCGGGAGTGGTAAAAATTTAAATTTCTGCCGACTATCAAAACAGCAACTGACATGATCTGTACTGCACGACAGAAAATTGGAAAATGAAGCGTTACTCTTAAATTTCTATATACATATCTGAATTCAGGCTCAATTCAAAATGATTGGATGCTTCTTACCCTATCGTAAAATTTGTTGTGTTCCATGGGTATTCAATCAATATTGATTTTGACTGCAAGTTGCTATTGTATGATAATGACAGTACTATACTTTTCTCACATAGGGATCCGAAAGTAACTTCAGAAAAACTCAAGTCCTTGAATCAGGTTGTAATTGGCTTATAGACAACAAACTTTCCATTCATCTGGGTAAAACTGAAAGTATAATTAAAGTATAACTTTTGGATCCAAAAGAAAACTCAAAAACTTACCAGGTGAAAGTTTCGAAGTAAATTGCAATGGACTTAAAATTGAGCCCAAATCCTCAGTAAAATATCTTGGTGTTCAGCTAGATGAATTCCTATCTGGGGAAAGTATAGTACTCAACGCAATTCATAAAATTAAACCAGAAACTAAAATTTCTTTATAGAAATAGTAAATGCCTATCAATAAAATCCAGAAAAACGCTGTGTTCAGCACTGATGCAATGCCATTTTGAGTATGCCTGCTCGTCCTGGTACAGCGGCCTAACCAAAAGATTTCAACAGAAACTACAAATTATGCAGAACAAAGTTGTAATATTTATTCTCCGGCTGGACCATTGGAAACGAATTTCATTTGAGGAACTTGCCTCGTTAAACATGCTAAATGTAAATCATAGAGTTAAGCAGCTTCGTCTCAATCATGTTTTTAATATTGATCATCAGTGCTGTCCAAAGTATATGAACAAAGGTTTTATTAGAAATAACAATACTCGTTTTACAAGATCTTGTGGACACAATTTTTTAGTACAATCTATTAGGGGAGCTGAGTACTCCACTTTTTTCGATAATAGAATCAGAGACTGGAATTCTTTACCTAGGTCAATCAAATGTCTACACAAAAAAAACCCATCAATTTAAACTCAGGTTAAACATCACTTGATGGAAATAGCTAAAAGGGAACATCAAAATGAATTTGTCGTTTTATTATATTTAATTTCCCGATACCACTTTGAGTTCCTTTAATAATTGTAGTATTCATTAAAAGAACCATCCTATCATCTTGACCGGTTGCTAATATTTTTCCAAAGGAACCCATTTGAAATAAGTTTTTTCAAAACCTTCATGGGACATCCTAGGTAAAAGATTACCAGTTGAAGATTATTATTCACTGTCTGTACCTCCAAAATTGTATGTGATATTCATACAAACTGTGATAATACTATTACCTAGTGCTGAATATCTGCTTTTTACTTGAAATAATTTAATGTTTAGTCATATGCTTTTTGTGATATCTGAAGGTTAGTCTTTCATCAAAAACCATTCTGTGATCTCATTGCTTGTGTAATGTAATTTCCATTAAGTCAGTTTGCCATCTATGTTGATACAGTGCTATATGTCAAGCGTGTAGGCTGGTCGCGAGGTGTTTGTTTCATTATGTGTCGATATTTTGCAGCAATTTTACGCTGCTCGTTAACACGTTATTAGACGAAACTTTAAAGGCTAATTCTTTAATACAGGGTTCTCTCAGACAGATAACTTATCTAATAAGATAGTTGTGGACAATTTATTGCTCCAATGTATGTCCTTTTTCCGAATAATTTCATTTTATGCAGATATCAGAAAAAGAGTTAATTTTGTCGTAATGGTTTTATTTGTTTCCCTTATACCGTTGCTATTGTCAAATTTACATCTTAAAGGCGAAAACATGTTGACATAAACAACTTATAAAAGTACAATATGTACTTTATCTCCGAATCATACCCATTTACATTACAACAATACTTAATATATGTTTCAACACATACTATGACACAACGCATGTAAAATAAGTTTAACTTACCCGAACGATAACCACACCGTTCAGCTTGAATCGTCCGAATGGGTTGAACTGGCTTGTTGCGCGTCTTTAAACGTGTAGGTTCCGGGATTCCAAGAAATAAACCAGGTATTCCAGGTAATTGTACACTGCGTAAGTTATAAATAAAACAACCTATACATATGTATAAAGAACAAAAGGTTCTAAAACGTTGTTATAATTTAACTTACCTCGAGTTGAGATTTCCCTGTCCAAGAACCACACCCACGTAAGATTATATTAATCAACTATAGTGATTACTTCTGTCTACGTCCATACTACAATAACAATTTTCATTTTACCACAAAAAGAAAAGGCATCTAGTCCAGAACATTTGGAATTCCAGAATTTAGAGTAAAACGTTGCAATTTTCGAATGATTCAAGCTGACAAATAAATCAACAGTAAAAGGCCCCATCCCTAATTGAGAAAATTGACAAAGAGCGGGGACAACCTAACCGTCGACATCGAACTCTTTGCTATATGTGTCCGCGATATTATTTAGAGGTCTGGGTATCCACGATACATTAAAGGGACATCGTGGTGAGGTATACTTTTATGACTTTTGTTTTAAATACTGCATAAATATATTAAGTGAGTCTGTTAATGGAAACAACGGTCGGATTTTGCTGATACATATTCCTAAAAGTGTGTAATTACTAATTACTAATAGAAGAGAAGAGTGTGTGACACTTTTTTTTTGGTCAAATTCTGCTTTTCTTTCTGTTGTTTAAGCCTTGACACTTTTCGAGCTTTGCACACGTACTTAACATTCCTCTTTATAACGCCATGTCAGCACACACTGTTGTTAGTGGTATAGTTGTACATGCAAAACTTGACAAAGTGACGAGTCAAGTTGACACATTTCTCAAGGTCGGTATCCGAAAAGAACATATACATATACAACTATAACACTAATAATAGTGTGTGCTGACCATGTCACTTTGTCAAGTTTTGCATGTAAATCTATACCACTAACAAGAGTTTGTGCTGACATGTCACTTTGTCACTTTGTCAAGTTTTGCATGAACAACTATACCACTTCTATCGTTGTCAGTACATGACTTACGTCGGCCATCGTACAAACATACCCTCCTCACCCCTCCTTCTCTTTGACCTTTTATTGTTTCCCCTTCTCCCATATCTTCTAGCTGTTGTTTGAGTCTCATTTAGATGTAGTCAATCGTTGAATTTGGGAGGATTTTTATCTATGAAAATAAGCGTGGCTTCTTTGGCTTTTCAATATTTTCCGGAATGCGTTTATACTGTGTATGTGATAGCATTAAGAATGTAAGTATATTCTTTTAACGATCTATTCAAATTGTATACAGTGACATAATAAGCTTGTAACAAGAATTAATTAGTTTTGGTTCCTTATCCTGTCTGGTCAGACAGTTTGTTCTGTAGCTGTTCGCTTCACATCTTATAACGCATGCGCATAACACGCCATTTCATCGTAAACAACATGACATGCTGTGGAAAGTGTCAGTGAGTGAAAACCGTTTCCGCGTCAGCTTCGAAGCGAAAAGTTGCTGAATGGTCAAAAGACAGCGCAAGGATTACGATACAGAAGCATTATTGTAGGTTGGAAGTATTCAAAGGAGACAATATAACCACCTTAACAGTTAGTATAGTGCTTGTATTCTTCCGCATAGCCGGTACAAAGTTGAATAAAGCTGAAATGGAATCGGCAGAAATGCTGTCTACGTTATGAATAAGTATCTAAAACCATTTACCTCGCTAAGTGTTTGTCTAAGTTGGAACACAAATGAACTTATTTGGTAAATGGGTATGATTCGGAGATAATGTTCTTTGCATGTCTATATATACAGTAACTTATGCGTGAGGCAGGGATATTTTACCGGTTAGTTTCCGATGGGGCCCTCCAAGGGATAATTATTGCATGATTCAGTTACGACTTCAAAAAGCATCGGAATACGTATTGAAAACGGGGGAAAGTCGTTTGTTTGCGTTAAATGGCGCGTGCGGCCGCAAAATGTATACCATCATGCATGTTAATACTTCTATTCTTATTCAAATTCCAGAAATTAGGGATGAAACAATATTTATTACCGGGATGGGACCGGTACTGAAGCTGTTACTAAATAAATTGCATCCTGTGTCCTTAATGAAATTAAAAAACCAGATCTATCCCATACCTGAAGTTGTGTTAAAAAAGTGAATGTCCGATTACAAGAGAATAGAAAAGTCATCTCGACATTAAAAGGGTTCATTTATAAGTGCACTTACATCTATGTGTAACTACTGATTTACTTAGTAAAAACGATTCAATAAGTTTCATTCTCAAGTTATATAAGTAATATATATATATATTTCATTATATTTTGTTTGTATACATATATGTATAAATTATCAGCAGTAATAGATGTAATTGGATTTGATAATTAATGAGGATATTATTGATAAAAACTGAGGATGGTGTTAATGATCATGATTTTTAGGTCAGCAATGATAATATTAATGATGAATTTTATAAGTGATGAGGATGATGATGTTTTATTGTTGAAAAGGATTGATTATGATGATAATGGCGTAAATGAATGAATTATATTTATCATGATGATGATGATAGTTTAATGATTAGGAATGCTGAAAGTTAATTGATGAAATTTATGATGTAATCATTGCTTGATTGACGTGAATGATAAGGAAGATAAAGTTGATGAGTTAATGTTTATTATGATATTATCATGAGGGAGGGTGGGGGAGGGGGGGGGCATTAACTTCGTATACCTCCACAGTTTCTGAAGCAGAAAACACGTCACTGTCCGTACTATTTGCACAATGTCCTAACCCTATTTAAAACGTGTCCTAACCCTACCTAACACGTGTACTAACCCTGCCTAACACGAGACCTAACCCTTACTAACACGTGTTCTAACCCTACCTAACAGGTGTCCTAACCCTACCTAACACGTGTCCTAACCCTGCCTTACACGTGTCCTTACCCTACCTAACACGTGTCCTAACCCTACCTAACACGTGACCGAGCTCTTACTAACACGTGTCCTAACCCTACCTAGCACGTGTCCTAACCCTACCTTACACGTGTCCTAACCCTTATAGATAATTATTGTTAAGACAATTCAATCATTCATGCTCACATGCATGCCCGTAGTCTGGATCGCTTATAATTGCAAAGCAGTTGAATAAATGCTACGGGCTTAGCCCTCTGACACAACTCGTCCCAAAATGTCTCGTAAATTTCTTCCTTTCACTTATCCAGACCTTTCCGAAGGTATGGAGCGCAAGTTCATTTCGTTATGTCGAGCCTTCAGTTCAGTAGCAAGAAAATATACGAGGTTAAGCGTTTATCCGACTCGGATCCGCAGATTGTGACCCTACGAGAAACACTCCTACAAGGTTGGCCAAACCTTAAAGATAATTGTCCAACTTCAATCCTCGATTACTGTACCTTCCGTGACCAGCTCTCTGTTATAGATGAAATAGTGTTCAAAGGTCAAAGGGTCGTCATGCCAAAGGATAAGAGGTCGTCATTATTAGACAAATCCGTACATATAGGCATCGACAAATGTCGGAGAGCACGTGATGTTCTTTTCTGGCCCAAAATATCAAAGGACATTTCCTACTTGGTATCGAACTGGTCCATCTGTATGGCGATGCGGACTGACAACCCAAAAGAACATCTCCAACCACACCCTTACCCAACAGACCATGGCAGATCGGTGCCAAAGATTTATTCAGTTGGAACGATCAAGAATATGCAGTCGTAGTCGTTTCCTTGAGATTGGAAAACTCGGAAGTACGCGGAGTAGCCATGTCATCGCGAAACGCAAAGGCATGTTTGCTCGTCACGGCATTCCCGAAAAAATCGTATCTGAAAACGGACCCCAGTACGGCTCGTACGAATTCAGTCCATTTGCGAATGATTGGGATTTCTGTCACGTGACATCAAGTCCTCATTTTCCCCAGACAAACGGTTTGGCTGAAAAGACTGTCCAAACAGTCAAACGTTTATTTTGCAAGGCCAAGGCAGACAGTAAATATCCATACTTAGGCATAATATGAAATAGGCACTGCCTATAAGCGAGCGCACATAGTTCGGTAACCTTTGTGATGATAGTGTAGATCTCGGGCGCCTGCAGCGCCCCAGCTAAGGGCTTTAAGGTTACAAAACGAACAGAATCTCTCCTTAGGACAAAGGTGCATCAAATATTCTGACATGAAAACATGAAAAAGAAATAAATGGTGGTTATAAAAAATTGAATCTTAATTAAGAAAACCTGCCAGATATTTCATGTAGGCATTTTTGTTGTTATTCGTATAAAGTTATATACGTCTCTGTTACAACACCTTTGACAATATATCGCCTGATCCCTTTTACCATCAAAATTTGTCAAGACAAAATGACAGAAATAGGATCTAATTTGCAATATTTGTTAAAAAGGCAAAGTATTGCAATGCAATCCATAGTCACTCACCGGTAAGAATTGCTATCTTTAACAAACAATACACTTATGTCAGGAAGCATAAGTCACAGTGAGTTATAATGATCTACTTCACTCCTCCATCCCAAGATGTCCTTGTTCTTCAAATCAGATTACTCAGGGTAAAATAGTATAGAATGCCCCGGACAAACATTTTTAAATGCAAAGGTCAAAGATCAAGTCATTGATCACAATGACCTTATTATGTGCACTCTGACATCCCAAGATGTCCTCGTACACCAAATCTAGTTACTCCAGGTAAAACTAGAATTATGTCAGTGTGACATTACAGCCGCTCACCACTTTAAATTTAATTGCTTCAGTAACACGTTAAGCATCAATATCTACTATAATATCTCAGATATGTGTTCTGTATTCTGCTAATTGAAAATCAGGTCATCTGATGATGTTGCGTTTAGGATTTTCAAAATCAATCACCTCTTTAATGATGCCTTAAAAATAGTGCTCCCTCTCCTCTTTTTTCACTCTCTTTAAGTGTGACGCATTGTTGTAATTTTCATTAATTAGCATCCTCCAATGATGTGACATGAGC